GAGGAGGAGGCGGAGGAGGAGGGAGGGGGAGGCGGACGAGCAGGATGAGGAGGATCTTCGGGAGGAGGAGGAGAAGGAGGAGGCGGTACAGGAGGTCTGAATCTGAGGAGGATGAGGAAGAGGAGGAGGCGGAAGAGGAGGAGGAGGAGGATGAGGAGGATGAGGATGAGGAGGAGGAGGAGGAGGCAGAGGAGGATAAGGATGATGATGATGATGATGATGATGACGATGAAGATGATGATGATGATGATGATGATGATGATGATGATGATGATGATGATGATGATGATGAAGATGATACTGATGATGATGATGCTGATGATGATGATGCTGATGATGATGATGATGATGATGATGATGATGATGATGATGATGACGACGACGATGATGATGATGATGATGAGGATGATGATGATGATGATGCTGATGATGATGATGCTGCTGCTGCTGATGATGATGATGATGATGATGATGATGATGATGATGAATGAGGAGGAGGAGGAGAGGATGAGGAGAGGGAGGGAGGAGGAGGAGGGAGGAGGATGAGGAGGAGAGGAGGAGGAGGAGGAGGAGGAGGAGGAGGAGGAGGAGGAGGAGGAGGAGGAGGAGGAGGAGGGGGGCGGAGGGGGAGTCGGACGAGCAGGATAAGGAGGAGCACGCGGAGGTGGTTGAGGAGGAGGAGGAGGAGGAGTTGGAGGAGGAAGAGGATGAGGAGGAGGGGGAGGAGGACCAGTGCAAAGCCAAGCCGCATGAACGATTTTATCATAGACTCCATGCAAGCTCCTCTTGCATGCGTATATAGGTCCCTGCAACGGTTTATTTTCATTTCGGCCCCCCCCCCCCGCTGGAAGACAACCGCCATCCTGCCGAAGCACAATTCCTGGGGCTTCAGCGCAGAGAGTCAATGTGACTATTGCGCCCTGACGGTCTTAAGTCGTGCCGTAACACCGTTCCTGGGAGTTCAACACATCGTCTCAGCTTGACTGTTGTGCCCTGGCAATCCTCAAGCGTGCAACCCCCCACTTGCAATGTTCAAGCTTCAGGATCGTACACGGTGGGCGGGGGGGCATCAGGCGAACAGCCCCGCACGCCCTACCGACACGTCTGGGGGTGCGGTGCGACAGGGGGGGAGTTACACGGAACAGGGATTGAGGAGGAGGAGGACGACAAGCCAGGTGCGCTCGCGCCACACCCTGACATCTCACCCCTCCCTCGCATCCATCAGCATTACGCCCCTGTTTTTCTACATCAGCGCACGCGTGTCACAGCGGACCTGGAACTGCAAACCAGACCAACTGCGTTGTGCGGCGCAATCCGAAACGTTAGCTGCGTACAAAGGAGGATGAGGCGGAGAAGGTGGCGGATGAGCAGGAGGATGCGCAGGAGGAGCAGGAGAAGCATCAGGAGAGAGGAGAAGGAGGACGAACAGCAGCAGCAGCAGCAGCAGGAGCTAGAGCGCAAGGAGCGGGAGGAGCACGGGAGGAGCAGGATGACCAGGGGAAGCCGGATGACTGGAAACGAAGGGAGCGCCAACGATGAGGATGGACTCCCTGAGGCGGCGCTGGGGCGTGAGCGCCATGCTGAAAACGAGGGGAGCAGGGCCGCAACCCTAACGTGAGGCCCGCGTTGCAGCGGGAGCAAGACATCGAGAACGTCTGCGGAGGAAGAACTTCTACACCGGATCAACTCGCCCACGCCATGTTTGTAAAACACAATTTCGCGGAATGGGGGGGGCAACCATTATCAGCACATTTTCGGGGGAGAGAGGAGGGTAGTATTCATAGAGTGTGATTGTGGTGGAGGAGGAGGAGGAGGAGGAGCAGGACAGACGCTGCAATCTTAGGGCTCCAGTCCTCTCGACGTCAACAGAGGAGAAGGAGGAAAAAGAGGGAGGAAGAGGAGGATGAGGAGGAGGAGAAGGAGGAGGAGGAGGAGGAACAGGACGGACGCTACAATCTTAGGGTTCGAGTCCGCTCAACGTCAAATAAGGATGAGGAGGAGGCAGTCCCCATCCCCCATCTTTCCCCCTATGCAGCCCCCCCCCTCCCCCTCCCCCTCCTGCTGGGCATCGGGCGCGGACGGGCGTCTCTCTCCGCTCCACCGCTCTCGACGCCCACCCCTGGCGGGGAGCGCTCCGACGGGCGCCCGCCGCCACCCGTCGCCACTCGCCCTGCTGCGCTCCCCTGGGTCCTGGCCCAGGCCCTGCTGCTGTTGCTCCTTGTCTTCTTCTTCTTCTTCTTCTTCCTCCTCCACTCGTTGTCCTTGTAGATAACTCCTCCCTGTCGCACCCCGAGGCCAGTCGAAAGGGCGGGCCGGGCGTTCCGCCTGAGACTCGCTTATCATTTCCGACCCGGTGCCTAAACATTGGCAACAGTTTCACCGATTGAGGGCGGGCGGTTTTCAAGCTGTGGCTATCGCGGTTTGGAAGATTTTTTCATGGATTGAGGGCGGGCGGTTTTCAACATGTGGTTCCCATCTTGGCGCCGCGCACATTCGGTTCAAATATTTGCAAGTGTTGCACGGGGTGAGGACGGGTCGTTTTCAAACTCTGGCTCTCGCCTTAGCGCCGCGCGCATTTTGATTGTTCTCAACATTTGCAAGGGTTTGACGGATTGAGTGGTTCGTTTTCTAAATGTTATTCTCGCTTCAGCGCCGCGCACATTCGTGTTACAAAAAAATTCAAGAGCTTCACGGATTGAGGGTGGGCCGTCTTCAACCTGTGGTTCTCGCCTGATCGCCGCGCACATTCCTTTGACACGTGTGGGCGAGTTTCAAGGAAATTGGGCGGCTCCCTTTCAACACGTGGCTCTCGCTCTAGCGCCGCGCACATCGTTTTAAACATCTGCAAGAGTTTCATTGGTTCTCATGGTTGGCGTACCAGAAATGACGCTTCGGAACGATTCAGGATTGTCCGGGCGCAACAGTTACGTTGATTCGCGGTGTTGAGCTCCCATGAATTGTGTATTTGGCAATGACACAAGACGTGTCAGTCAGGCGAACTCGTTGCGTTGAAGTTCTGAAAATTGTGTTTGTCAAGCTTCAAGATGTTTACACGGGTGTCCCCCCAACGGGGCAATTCCTTCAGTGGAACTGACCCCTTGTAGGTGCCTGTGAAGAGGGATCTTGGAGGGAGGGTGTATTTCAACATCGATGATGAGTCTTGGGTCTTGGGTTTGCACTGGTCCTCCTCCTTCCCTCCTCCTTCTCCTCTCCATCCTGGCACAAGTGACTGGCTGGCTCACTTCGTCGACATCATCTTTGAGGTGGTTGTCTCTTGTGGGTTGGTTGCGTCAAAGGAAGTATGGCCCGAGATGTCGAGCTTCTACCCCCACATCTCTTTCGCAAGGGTCGTGTAGCGTTATGTGCCTATAGCCGTGCCCCACGCAGTGGGGTTGCAGGACGATCTTCCTCCTGCAGTGGAGTTGCAGGACCTCCTGACGCCTATACCTGTACCCTATACCTCCTCCTCCTCACGCCTTTCACGGTCGTGGGCTGCTTCGATACCTCCGATGCCGAGCTGGGCTGCGAGCTCCTCGAGTTTAGCGATCGCTCCTGCCGCTGCGCAGAGTTCCCCCCGTGCCCGCGCCCTCTTGTCTCTCTCGTCGTTGTCGTCCTCCTCCTCCGCCTCCTCCTCCTCCTCCTCCTTCGACCCTCATCCCCTCCTCCCCTCCTCCTCTTTCACTGCCTTCCGCCCCAAGGGTTCAGCTGTGTGCATTGCCTTCTGCCTCCCCCTCCCCTCTTTCCCCCTGTTCCCACAACCTTCGGAGCGATCTCAAAGAGTCGTGTCGCAAGCCCCTGAACGATACCATGAGAGAGTACCTGAATCGCATCAGGTGAGGTCTTGTTCCCAAGCTTCGGAGTGCTGCCGAGAAGGCGGCCCGCTCACAGCCATCTTGATTCCTATGACGCCGTCATGTGCCTATTCCTGTTCCTGCTCATGTTTCCCCCTCCCCCTGCCTGTGCTGGCTGCCTCTCCCAGCAGCCGCTCCCGGAGGACAGCTGGTCCGGAGCGTGCTCGGAGACGGGCGTCCTCGAGGAGCCCTGCTGCGGCCCGGCCGGGGAGAAAGGTCTCGGGCGTCCCCCCTCGGGCAGTGCTTAGGGGGTCTCACCCTCGAGGGGGGCCACCAGTTCCGGCCCGGGATCGAGGCGTCAGGATCGAAGCCCGACGAGGTCTTTGGACGTTGCGGCTGGTCTCGGGAGGCTCGGGAGTGTGCGCAGGGGGTGGGGTCCAGTGCTCCTCGATGCGATGGCGCCTCCTCGAGGACGGGGCGACCACCCCGTTGGGGACCCCTTCGGCACTGCCTGGCCCCGTCGGGACCGACATTTCCAAACATCCCGTCGCGATGGCCCTTCTGCTGCAGCCTCGGCCCGCGGGGGCCGTTCCCTACAGTGCCGTTTTTGATACATGCTCCGCGTGCGGATCATGTATGAAAAATGCAGGGTTTTAGTATCAACAACAGCGATGAACACTGCCCTGTAGCGCCCCGGCAGCCTGAGCCGAGTATCCTGAGGCTGCCTATACTTTTAAAAATATCCTATGTATCAAAAACTGCCCTGTAGGGCCCCGGGGCCCGCGGGGGCAGCAGAGATAATAGGGAAGGGAAGCGGCCTGCGGAGAGACGCAGTCCGCCCGAGGGTGCCCGCGTGGCGAGAAGCAAGGAAGGACAATCCACCCCGGCCCCGACGACTGGCGTCTACCAAGCGGCCATGGGCGTCTATGAAACAGCCCTGCCCTGTTCGATGTCTTCCCTGAGCGTGTTTACGAAAGAGCTTCGCTCGTCGGGGGCTTCTGATGGGGGTGGATGCGCTCTGCTCTCTAAAGTTATGATGCTCCAGCCGACTTTAGCCTTGACCACAAGGAAGAATTTCGAGCGGCCAAACAAGTCCCGGAACTCAAGGGTTGTCACGTGCCGGGCCCCTGGGAGACACTCGCCCGACACTGTTTCGACACTGTTTCGACACTCTTCTGGCACTTTTCTGGGTGCTCGAACTCATTTCCGGGATGCGGCCCTTACGTAGGATGGGAACCACATAACTCTAGAGAAGGGTCGCGACGTGGGAGGTTTGTCCACCGCCGAAACAAACAGCCCTGCCCCGTTGGATTTCTTCCTCGGGCGTGTTTAGCAAAGAGCTTCGCTCGTCGGGGGCTCAGGATGGGGGGTGGATGCGCTCTGTGCTCTCTGGAGAAGGCTCGCGACGTGGGAGGCCGTGGCTGCCACCCACCGCCCTCGCCGCCCGCCCTCCCCTGCGCCGCGCTCCTGCGCACCTCGCGCGGGGCCCTGCCGCGGCTCGCCCTGGCCTGGCTCACCGCCCACCAAACCACCCCAACCCAACCCGAAGGCCTCATTTTGCCCTCCATTTCCAGTGGGGGCGGGGTCTGGGAACATCGAAAAAACACGTATGGAGCCCGTACCCCCCCCAACCCGAAATTCGGGTCTTCGGGTTGGGTTGGGGTGGTCTGGTAGGTAGTCACTGGCGCTGCCGCGGCGGCACTCTCGGCGAGCGGGCTCGGGCCTGCCGAGGCCCCCGCCCGCGCGCGGGCGGGGCTCCCCTTGCAGGCCCGGGGCAGCCAGGGCGGGCCGGCGCGAGGCTCTGCTGCTCCGAGGCCCGCGGCGGGGCTTCGCGGGCGAGGCGTTTCCTCGGTCATCGCCGCCCTGGTCTTACCTCGGAGTCCTAGAGATTGACACCAACACCAAGATCGGCGGTGTGCCTCCACCGAGGGAAGACGATCCCGATCTCGGTGATGGTGGTAGTATTCTGGCTTCCAAGGTGCCCGAATTATTACCACCAACACCTAAATCTAAGATCATCATCTCCCTGTGGAGGCAAACCCCTGTGCTGGTGTTGGTGCCAATTTCCAGGCCTCCAAGTACCGCACGGGTCGACGCGCACGCCGCTTGGGAGGTCTGCGCTCGACCAGCTGGTGGGGCCTCTGGCGTGGTGTCTGGAGGGTGGCGTGGGCCATGCGTCCTGTCGCAGCTGCCCCCTCCCCGCTGCTCGGCAGGTGGTGAGGAGGATAGGAGGGGAGGAGGACCAGAGGACACCAAAGATGCACCAGCGATGCTGCAACACACCCTCCCGTCCCAAGTCCCCTCCTCAGAAGTCTGTGCATGCCATCCTTCACTACATGAGGCGCCCCCTTGAGCGGCCAGCACCCTCTCGGGCTGTCGTTCAGGCGAGAGCCCTATTCAGCAAAAGGGATTGCCCTGCATCCTTCTCGCATATACCCAGGAATGCGAAACGTTATGATCATGCTGCACAGCAAGGCGTCCAGTGAGATCAGCGTCTTGAGCAAGGACCGATCCCATCCTTGCGCTATCTACACTTCTTGCCGTGAACTTCGAGGAAGTCTCAAGCGAGAGGCCATCTCGAGGCCATCGTTCGGCGACTCGGGGCGCTCTTGGACCGTCGTTGGGGCCTCCCGGGCCGTCATGGAAGCCTTGGAGAGCCACAGGGAGGCGCCCTGGCTGCCCATGATGGGAGTTTGGCAGGTGCGCGCGGCAGAGGGGTCGCCCTCCATTTGGGCACTCCATCGGGCACTTTTGGGAACCTCCAGAGGAGGATGAGGATGAGGAGGATGTGGAGGGGTATGAGGAGTAGGAGGGTGAGGAGGATAAGGAGTAGGAGGAGGAGGAGGAGGCGGGAGAAACACCCCTTGGAGCACCCGAAGACCTCCAAGAACCCCTCAACACCGCCTAGGGCATCCGCAATCCCTGCACGCTTTCGCTGTGGGCCCGCCCACGCGAGGGTGTCTTGGGTGGAGGGTGCTGGGTCGCCCGCAGACCACCGATTGCGGCCCCCCGTGAGGATGACTGATAATTGCTCACGCGCTTCCTGGGGTGAAGACACTGGCCAAAAGCCTCCTCGTTTTGTTTTTTCCCGCGGCGCGAGTGATTTCAGGGGAGGGACTCTCCCCTACCCAGCGAGAGTGCCCTGAGAAGACCACCTGGAGCTCACCGGTGATGCTGATGATGGCAATGATGCTGCTGTTGCTGCTGATGATGATGAACATGATGATGCTGATGATGATGATGATGCTGATGATGATGATGATGATGTGGATGACGATGCTGATGATGACAATGATGATAATGCTGAGGATGATGATGATGATGATGATGATGATGATGATGATGATGATGATGTGGATGAGGATGATGATGGTGAGGATGGTGATGATGACGATGATTATGTTCACGACGACAGTGATATTGATATATACTGCTGAGTCTGATGATGATGACGACGAGAATGAGGCTGATGATGAGGACGATGATGCTGCTGATGGTGATGATGTTGATGATGCTGATTGTGGTGATGATGGTGCTGATCATGAGGACGAGGATGATGATGATGATGATTATGATGAGCATGATAATGATGATGATGATGATCGTGAAGATGATGAGGTGATGATGCTGATAATGATGCTGATCATGAGGATGAGGATGATGAGGATGATGAGGATGAGGATTCTGATGATGATAATATTCATGATGATGATGAGGACGATTATGATGAGGATGCTGCTGATGATGACGAGGATGATGATGAAGGTGATGATGATGATGATGATGATGATGATGATGATGATGATGATGATGATGATGATGATGATGATGATGATGGCTGTGTTGGTGGTTGTGATGGTGGTGGTGGTGATGATGATGATACTGACGATGATAATACCGATGGTTAGGATGATGAGGCTGCTGCTGATGATGATGCTGATGAGGATTAGGATGATGATGTCAATGAGGATGCTGATGATGATGATGATCATGATGATGATGATGATGATGATGCTGATGCTGCTGATGATGTTGATGCTGATGATTAGTGTGATGATGCTGATGGTGATGCCGATGCCGATGACGATGATAATGATGATGCTGATGATTAGTCTGAGTATGAGTATGAGTATGAGTATGAGTATGAGTCTGAGTATGAGTATGAGGCTCAGGATGGTGGTTGTGGTGGCGGGGATGATTTTGATAATGACGTTGATGGGTGTAATGTCGAGGAGACGAAGGAGGAGTAGGACGCGGAGAAGGAGGTGCTGGAGAAGGAGGTGCTGGATGATGATGATGATGTTGATGTGAATGAGGATGAGAAGGAGGAGGATGGGGAGGATGGGTATGAGACTGATGACGACGACGACCACGATGATGTTGGTGATGATGCTGATGACGATGATGATGGTGATGATGACGATGATGCAGCTGATGATGATGATGATGAAGCTGAGGATGATAATGAGGATGGGGATGATGATGGCGATGACGATGATGGTGATGATGATGGTGATGATGATGGTGGTTGTGGTGTTGATGATGATGCCGATTATGATGATGATGATGATGATGATTGTGGTGATGCCGATGATGATGCTGATGACGATGAGGATGATGATACATGATGATGAGGGTGAGGATGAGGATGAGGATGATGATGATGATGGTGCTGATGATGAGGATGAGGATGAGGATGAGGATGATGGTGATGATGAGGTTGTCGTTGCTGGTACTGCTGATGCTGCTGCTGCTGCTGATGATGATGCTGCTGCTGCTGCTGCTGCTGCTGATGATGATGATGATGATGATGATGATGATGATGATGATGATGATGATGATGATGATGATGATGATGATGATGATGATGATGATGCGGATGCGGATGCGGATGTTGATGAGAGGAGTTGGAGGAGGAGGAGGAGGAGGAGGAGGAGGAGGAGGTGCTGGAGGAGGTGCTGGAGGAGGAGGAGGAGGAGGAGGAGGAGGAGTAGGAGAAGGAGGAGCATCAATTGGAGGAGCAACGGGAGGACGACGATGTTTCGAGGTACCCTCCCCGAGGGAGCCGCGACCCCCCGAGGAGGAGTCGCCAGCCGCGTCTGGCAGGCCCGACGAGGGCGCGGTGGCGGTGCTGGAGGCGCCCGCGGCCCGCGAGGAGCAGCCGCCGGCCGCGCCCCACCAGCCCGACGAGGGCGCGGCGGCGGAGCTGGAGGCGCCCGGCGCGGCGCCGCAGGAGGCGCCCCTGCCGGGCACCCAGCTGCGCCCCTTGCGCCCGCGGGTGTCGGGCCGAACGAAAGGGTGGGATAGGGAAAGGGGGGGGGTACGAAATCTGCTGCATGCAGCTGCCTCGACACATGGGCGCCTCCCGGCGCCGGGAGGCGCAGGGAAAATCAGCTACATGAGCTGATTCTCTACCTTTTGCTATCCCCCCCTTTCGTTCCCTCCAAGAGTGGCCTTCCACGCTCAAGCGCAGTCGAAACATCATCTCCAGACTATTTTTGGACTTTTTTTGGACATTCCTCCTGTAGAGGGGACAGGCCCGACTTAGCCTCGCCCGCGGCCCCCCGAGGCAGCGCACCCAAGGTTTCTCTCTCTTGCCCAGGGTCGCCCCTTCGCCCGTTTGGCGCGGGCGGTGAGGATCGGGCGGGGATTAACTACCAACGGTGTAGTTACCCATCGGTCGTTGAAAGTAGGTCTTTTTTTGATTCCCAGTTCTCAAGCCACTTTAGCCGCCTTCCCCTACTTCAAGAGTCGAGTGGTTTTCCCTCGACACTCCTCTTCTAGAGGCGGGCGGAAACCGAATCTACTTCCAACGCCTTCCTACTTCCTGGTTCTACCTACTTCTTGCGACCGATGGGTACCGCCAGGGTGTGGCTTGCGATCTGCGTCGTTGGGGCTCGGAGGGTACCACGTTTCCAATCGCCAGGCCTCCTACAGGGCGCGGCGGGGAACTCTGCCGATGTCCCCGCCCGCCCCCCAGGGTGCGGGCTGCAAGCCACACCCTGTGCAAACCACAGCCTTCGGAGTCGCCGAGAGGAGGGGACTTTCAGAATTCTGGCCGCCATCTGTTTTTTTCAAGCTGCGTTTTCTCCTGATATCGTGTTGGACGGCGGGTTGAAGTTGAACGCATCATACAGTCGAAGCGCATAGTAAGGATGAGCAACGTTCCAAGGTCACCCTTGCATCCTTGCCCCTTCGGCCCAACCTTGGCAACTTTCGCTGGCCTGCCCCGCTCAAAGAACGTCAACATGGCCTTCCGAGGCCCTTGCATCCTTGCCGCGCATCCTTAGTCTGCGTTTTGACTGGATTGTGGAGGGTGTTTCTGTATTGCTTGGGGCATGACGGGCGTCATGCTTCCCCTCCTCATATGACGCAACGCTCCCCCCCCAGTGCGCGCCGGCCTTTGCCGTCGTGAGCTTCGGGATCCGCATAGGTGTCCGAATAGGAATCCGCATAGGAGTCTGGTCCGCAGTCGTCGTCGTCGTCGTCGTCGTCGTCGTCGTCGTCGTCGTCGTCGTCGTCGTCCGTCGTCGTCGTCGTCGTCGTCGTCAGTCGTCGTCGTCGTCGTCGTCGTCGTCCTCGTCGCTCGTCGCTCCGCTAGTCGCTAGTCGCTTATCGTCGTCTTGCGCACGGACCGATGGCGGCAAGCATCTGGGGGGGAGGCGGCCCATGACGTCACGTTTCGCGCCGGCGGCGTCTGGGAATGCCGAGGAATGACCGAAGACGGGTAGCAGCAGCATGTAGGTGTCGATCTGCACCACACTGCCCGTGCACACCACAATGCTTGCGTGCACCACAGCGCCTGTGTACACCACACCGCCTATGTACACCACAGCAGCCGCGTGCAACACAGCGAGCGCCAGTGCGTGCCACCGTTCCTGCGGGCACCACAGTGCTTGTGTACACCGTAGCGCCTGCGTACACCACATCAGCCGTGTACATCACAGCACCAATGTACACCACAATGCCTGCGTGCATTACAGCGCCTGTGTACACCAAGGCGCCTGTGTGCACCATAGCAACCGTGCGCAACAGAACACCAGAGTTGCATATATACGTTTACAATACATCCTTATGACAGCATGTAGCGCTGGTGGATTCCTCAGAAAACAATTGTTTGATTCAGGACTTGTGAAGGAAGCCGTACCGGAAATGGAATGCCGCTGGAATCTACGATTCCTCCCGAGTCCGCCCGCATCATCCTAACTTTTCGCATCTGCATCCAGGAGGCTCCAGCAAAATGGGCCGTCCGAGAACGAAGTGGACTGATTCAGACGACCATTCTGCGGTGCACGCTGAGATACGCACGTGCGCTCTAGCGCCGACCCGCACGCTCATGAGAGAAGGGTGAGGGAGGAGGAGGTGGTGGGGGAGGAGGAGGAGGAGGAGGAGGAGGAGGAGGGCGAGGAAGAAGAGGAGGAGGAGGAGGAGGTGGAGGTGGATGAGGAGGGAGGAGGGAAACGCGCCGCACTCTACTATCAAGGCTTCCGAGGCGTGGCGGCTAGCTGTCCGCAGAAGATCCTCGCCTATTGCTCTTGCTACCTTTCCTTTGCACGCAGGCATTGTGGTGCACACCAGCGAGTCGTTGCACGCGGATGTTGCGGCGCAGACAAGCGCCGTGGTGCGCACAGGCGTTGCGTTGCACGCAAGCGTTGTGGGGTACACAGGCGCTGTGTTGCACATAGTTGCTGCGGTGTACACATTCGCTGTGGTGTGCACCGGCGGTGTGGTGCACGCAAGCACTGTGGTGTACACTGGCGCTGCGTTGCACACGGCTGTTGCGGTGAACGCAGGCGCTGTGGAGTACACGCGCGTTGTACTGCACGCGAGCACAGTGGTGTACAGAGGCGCTGTGGGGCAGATCGCCACCTACATGCTGCTCGAGTCGTCGTCGTCGTCGTCGTCGTCGTCGTCGTCGTCGCTCGTCGCTCGTCGCTCGTCGCTCGTCGCTCGTCGCTCATCGTCGTCGTGCGCGCGGGCGCGGCTGGTACCAGAGCCGCACGGCGATGGGGGGGCGTGACGTCGTACTCCCCCCTCGCCCCGTCCCCCCCCCCCCCCCCATGACGTCCGTCATCGCCGAAATAGAAAAAAAACGCTCTCGTGGTCTGCAAAAAGGGGACCTGTCGGCTACACGTAAGAGTGACCTTTCGCCAGAATGCCCTTTGGTGCGGGCGCAGTGGAGTCCCCTGATGGCTGGACGTGATGCGATAGCAGCGTTTTGCGCATTCGGGTTTGGCCTCGCCACGGTCCCCGAACGTCGCGCACCACAGGTCGTTGTTGCCTAGGGTCACTCTTCCGTGTAGCCGAACTTGAGGGCTCGAGGACTGAAGCAGCATCAGTTGTGGCGCCGGAGTGGGGGCCTGCGCTCTCCGCACAGGCCTATGCCACCGAGACGCCTGGCCAACGGGGCAATGGTTCCGCGACCGACGGCCGAGGGGGGATGTGAAGGAGAAGGGGAAGGGGTCGGACTTCCAACGCATCGACAAATTCAGTACTGAGGTGTTTTATAATCGCATGTTCTGGCCGATCAGTTATCCCCTCCCTTGACCATTGAGGGTTGATTATCTCCGGCCAATAAAGATTTGGTCGGGGGAGAGGGGCGGCAAGGCCGCGCTTTATGATCGCGAGGGGAATTTGCGAATCGATGTTGCGATCTTCTTATGTTGAGTCGTATCGTCATCCCACGTGTGGCAGGAATGAGAATATGTATTATTATGACAAGTCCTGCTATCTCCGCTACTACTACTACGACTACTACTACTACTACTAGTAGTAGTACTACTACTACTACTACAACAGCAACAACAACTACTACTACTACTAGTACTCGTACTAGTACTAGTACTAGTACTAGTACTAGTACTAGTACTACTACTACTACTACTACTACTACTACTACTACTACTACTACTACTACTACTACTACTACTACTACTACTACTACTACTACTACTACTACTACTACATTACCATTACTACTACTACTACTACCACTACGACGACGACGACTACTACTACTACTACTACTTCCACTTCCACTTCCACTACTACAACTACTACAAAAACAACAACAACAACTACTACTACTACTACTTCTCTTACTCTTACTCTTACTACTACTACGACCACTACCACCACTACTACTACTACTACTACTACTACTACTACTACTACTACTACTACTACTCATATTACCACTACTACTATTATTACTAGCACTACTCCTACTACGACTTCTACTGCTACGATTCTACTACTATTGAAATTTCTACTACTACTACTACCACTACTACTACTGCTACTACTACTACTACTACTACTAATACTACTACTACTACTACAACGACTAGTACCTTTACTCCTATTACTACAACTACGACTACCACTATCACGACTACTATTACTGATATCACTACTATGGTTATTATTGTTTTTGTATCACCACCACCACCACTACTACTACCACTACTGCTACTACTAGGACGACTATTATCACTCCTACTACGACTACGAGTACGACTACCATTACGACTACGATTACTGTTAGTACTACTACGACTATTATTGTTATTACTGCCACAACCACCACTACGACGACTACTACTACTACTACTATGCTTACTACTACTACTGTTACTACTACTACTACTTTTACTACTATTATTGTTACGACTACTACTACTACTACTACTACTACTACTACTACTACTACTACTACTACTACTACTACTACTACTACTACTACACCTACTACTACTACTACTACTACTACTACTACTACTACTACCACTACTCGTACGACGACTACTACTACTACCACCACTACTATACTACTACTACTTACTACTACTACTACTACTACTACCACTACTACTACTACTACTACTATCACTACTACGGCTACGACGACGACATCGACGACGACGACGACGACGACTACGACTACTTACTACTACTACTACTATACTACTACTACTACTACTACTACTACCTACTACACTACTACTACCACTACTACTACTACTACTACTACTACTACTACTACTACTACTACTACTACTACTACTACTACTACTACTACTACTACTACTACTACTACTACTACTACTACTACTACTACCTACTACTACTACTACTACTACTACTACTGCTACTGCTACTGCTACTGCTACTGCTACTACTGCTACTGCTACTGCTACTGCTACTGCTACTGCTACTGCTACTGCTACTGCTACTGCTACTGC